TAAGAATTTAATTGTGTGAAAAAGTGAAAATAAAGGTCCCGCTTCCCCTATTTAAGATGTGAATTGTTTATTTGCTATTTAAAATTAATTTCATTATACGTAATGAAATTATTGTGAATATAAACATAAATTTGTGGAAAGGTCTGGAGTATACGTGCAACCGATACAACTTTAGAATGCACATTTGTCATTTTTTAATTACTATGGTTGTTAATGCAATTGCTTTAAAGTCGCATTATACATATATATATAAGTAGAGTTTAGTTGCTAATAAACAAATGTTTAATCCTCCAATCACGATCAATGTATTATGTATAATCAAGAATACTAAAAACAATTTGATAACATTAACTGTATTTAATTTGGCGGTAACATATTTAACAGGTCAATTATATTTCTTTATATTAGTTACATATGCAGTATATTTCGATTTCAAAATATGAGATACATTACTAAATATATTATTAAATTTTTGCTTGAAATATAATTCGGTTAGAAAAAAGAAACATAAATAAATTATCGCTTCTCAGTGCAAAATCTGAAAAAAATTGAGGTTAGGTAATTACGAATTGTGAGAAAAAAGTATTTTGTTATTTAACTTTATTTATCGATGCTTATAGATGAAGAAAATATCAATTAAATAATTTCCATATTTCTGTATTCAACTGACAACTACGTGTTATTGAGATTTTCTGTAAAGTTATATTCACGATAGTACTGCTCCTAAATAAACATACACAGTAAAAATTTGTTTCGAAAAACGGCAATTAATCCTACGACAGTCCTATATATGTTACCATTATCTTTCAAATATTTATATTGAATAAAATAGAATGTACAAGTCATTGTACAAGTCAATGTAACAAATAAGTTCTTATGATCTGTGTCTTGACAACCATACGTTTTACGATTTACTTAGGTAAAATTATAAAACTTGTTAATAATATATCATTTTTTCAAGACGTACAATTTTAAGAAATGAGAATAAAGAATGTAAATATATATTTACATACAATAACATAGTGGTAGATGCAAAATATGAATGTATTTTGCTGGGTTAAAAATAAAAGAATATTTTTATATATTACAAATGTTTACATGTACTGTATTGATTATTTAATAATATAAGAAATAATAAATTCTACATAATGATTATACATTCCTAATCATTAAGCATCAAAATATATGACAACACAATCATTTAGAACAAAAATTACACATTTGGAATATGTTCTACATTCAAGCTCCCACAGGACAAGTGTCACTTCATGTCTTGGAAAAATGTATTTTTGCTAGATTAGAATATTTGGGATTATTATATGATGCTAAAGCTCATGAGTTCAATGGTAATTTTGAGTATTTATTAGAAAATTCAGTGTATGACAGAATAGGACATTTTTCATTACGGTAAGTGTTAATTTACATAACATGTAATTGTATCTATACACAACTAAATAATAAGTAGTTATTATTATATATACCTTATCTTTTCTTTTTAAAAGTTTAACTCAAACCATGCAATGAACTTTTCCTTCAATATTTATTTATATGTTCAATTTAGATTATTAGCCTCTACATCACAGGATCTATGGAATTATTGGATCATCAGAGAAACACTATTATTTCAAAATAGATTGAAACATTTATTACCTAGGCAATTATATAGGTTGTTAAGAAGTATCATTCGTCAACTCAGATTGCTTACAAACAAAGAAAACATAATTCATAATACATTAATTGATACATGTATTTTTTTCTCAAAAAAACTTATTTTTAAGCATGTTATAGCAAAAGATCATAAAGAAGGCTGTAATTTATTTCAAATTCAAGGTATGTATAAGAAGAAACAAATGAAATGCTTAATTTAATTATTAATGCGTTTCTGTTATTTTTCAAGTGAGGTATGAGTTAGTGCCAGACTTAATTAAAAAAAGAAAAGTAGAATTATGTGCTGGGTATGCTATTATCCACTGTTCCAAATTGAAAGAAGTCCTTGTATCATTATTTAACAGTTACATGCACAGAGAAATTGCATGTATTAAATCAAAAGCACAATATGCCATAAACCAAGATGTTAGATTTGACTACTTGTATCAGAAAATTCATTGCCAATTATTTCAAAGAAGTTGTGAATATGGACGTATAACTATTCACAATATAGATAAAGAAATGAGAAATTTTCCACTTTGTATGCAACATTTGCATAGAAGATTACAAAATACACATAGATTAGGTCATTATGCTCGCTTATATTATAGTCTCTTCCTAAAAGATGGAGGAATGCACATAGAAGATGCTATAAACTATTGGAAAAAAGAATATTCGAAGCCTCATTCGTGTTCCTCCATCTGTTCACATCAATGGCAATCAAACGAACGCAAATTTATATATAGTATTCGACATCTTTATGGTTTGGAAGGATCTAGAAAAAATTACAAATCACCTAATTGTGAATTCATGTGTGTAAGTAACATATTATTCTGTTAAAAATATTTTTAAAATGTCAATCATTTCTTTTTTTAATCTTACTATAGGCAACTGCTTCTGGCCTAAAGTATGAAGGAGGATGTCCATTTAAAAATTTCGATAAAAATACATTAAAGAGTCTGCTATCTTTATCATTATCAGATGACAAAATAACAAAATTGCTGAGCATTATATCTCCTCAAAATCCTCAATCTGCTTGCATGTCGTACATTACAATGCTTGGCCAAAAAAATAATGGTAACATTGTTATCAATAGTCCATTACAATATTATTTGATAATGACTAGTCAAATTTGAATATGTAAATAATTTAATGTAATTCACTTTATTTGAAAATAAAAATATTATTACAAAAATATTTTTAATAAATTATATACTCTGCATTGTTAATTATTATTAACACATGCTGTAGCATAGTGTACATATGTACATTACATATGAAAAAAGTAGGTAACGGACGATAAAATTTCATTTTCTAAATAAATGTTTTAAAAATAAAAAGTATTAAAAATTTTTCAAAGTGTTCTCTACGAGTGAGCAATTCACGCCATTTTTAACAAATATACAGGTAACACCAAGTTTGCCTACATCAACAATATTTCTATGTTCATCATCAAAGAATATCATATCTTTATAATCTGTGCCTGATGCCTTTTGAATTCTAAAAAGAAATAAGTTATAAGATTAAGATTCTAATCATTTGTTACAAGATGAAATTAAAACAATCGTTTAAACAAAAGTTAACAACTGTTACTTGCTTTCATATCAATAAAACTTACTTAGAAAAATGGGCTACTTTACATCCAGGATATATTTCTTTATACTTAAAGTATTTTTCCCAATTAAATAAATTTAACAATTGTTTGGCACCCGAAATTTCTGAAGTGCGAGATGCAACACCAAGTTCATATCCTTCATCTGATAACCTTTTTAAAACTTCAGGCACCTCTTTATAATAGCGTATTATTTGACCATGAGCATCTACTACATCGTTTCCTTTCCTGTAAATAATTTTTAAAAAATAAAGCAAATTCAGTACTATTGTATAATAGCAAAATATTAAAACTTTATTACTTCTTAAAAGGAGGAGTAACATGAGTATCAACCCAAAACGGCCATAAAGTATAATCTGAAAATTGTATTTAACAATTAGATTACTATTTATTTATCATATTTGACTTATAAGAATAAAAAACCTATGTTTCCTTAATATTAAAGAAAAATATGCTATACAAAAATATTCTAACCTAAATCAAAAACTATTATTTTAGGTTTCCGAGCCATTTCACTCATTTTTTTTTTAATTCACGGTCGAAGCATAACTATTTTACTGCTATGACTGCAGAATTATTTATGTCATAGATTCTATGACATTATAGTCAATGTGATTTGCGTTAAAACCATTTTATTATGTTCAAAGAAATTCTTTTCTATTTAGTGTTAAGTACCTACATTGTGCGTTGGATTTAAAATTGAAAAAAAGTAATAAATGATTTATTTAAGTTATTAAAAGAGAATAATAATATTTATGCTTCCGCAGCATCGTTGGGAAATGCAAACAAGTAGATACAGTCTCGCCCGATGTAAAATAGACCAATGATAAGTTCATTACGTGTTAGAAAAGCTGTTACTATTTGTACTCTCGAGTACAGAGTTCTAGTGTTTCTTAAACCTCAATTTCTAACGTATTTGTACATTGAAGTTAAGTTCCATGGATATAGCTCCAAAAAATTCCCCTATATAGAATATTCGTACTGTGCCAAAATTTATATTCAAATTTTTAATGTCGTGAATTTAAAAGAAGTGATCTTGAAATACAACTACGAAATAGTATAACTGATCTTTTCGCAGATGATATCTTTATCACTTGTTATGTGCCATTAAATAAAAAAGGAAGAAAAGACGAGTCTGTGAAGAATCAACTTTTGCACACATGTGCGGTCGATATCACGAAGTTGTGCACCCTGACGCATGTGCACTTGTATCACGAAGTTTTACATCTATATTCATGGATACATTTTCCGTATACATGCGTTTAGTTGAAATTGATCCTGAAAAAACACCGGAGTTTCACTTGTGTAAGAATCTTCTATTAAGGTTCCCCAATTTGGGGACAACGACGTAAAATTTCGACAGAAATTCACTTTTACAAGAATATTCTGTAGTAATACTGTAAATACGTGGCATTAAGTTATAGCATGAACCATTAAGAATTATTCACACTGTACGAAAGAAGTACCATTTTTGCATTAATATTATCTTTGTCTCAATGTGCACCATTTTATAAAAAGTATATATTAAATATCTATGTACATATATGTGTGTGTGTGTGTCTATTAAAATTAAACGAATTAATAGAAAATTAATTTTTAAAATTCTTTTATATAGAATAAATTGCTATGAATTTAAACAACTTCAAATTTCCCGCGTGTTCGATGACAGTGATTTTGCGCATTTTCGGCATACTGTGTAACTGCCAATGCTAGTAACAAAACGGTTCATGACGAGGTATTGTTCATCTTGTTCGGTGATAGCGTCAATCTCTATCGAGTTTGTAGAGCATCGTGGAGTGCCGATTGAAAATAGTTATTGAATTTATTATAAAGTTATTATTTTAGATAATAGAAACGCCTGAAGGTATACTCGTACGTTATGTTTCTTTACGTAATTATCAACGATAATTATTAATATTCTACGTAGATCATACCGACTGCAGACGTACAAATCCTTACATTGCACGTTATTAGTATTATATTTACAAAATAGCATTATTATTTTAATTAAATGTATTTATAACCAAATTTTTTGCTTATTTATGTTTATTACCGTATATTTTGTTTACATTAACTTTTTTGGCAATTATGAGTGAGCATTTGGTTTTCTGAATATTAATTAAGATTGTTGTTTTGTAAAGAAGCGTGTAAACACTTTATTTGCTATTATATTTTTATATGTAACTGCAGTAATATAGATTGCAGATCTTTATGCAAAACTACATATTTTACAGTAATTTATTAATTGCTCTAATTGATAATAATCTTTATATATTTCTACGTGTTATAAATGCATAAAGTTTGTGATCTATTGGTAATGTAAATATAATTATGATTACCTTTAATTTCACCCGTAATGTAAATGTAATATTTTGTTTTATTATAGAAATGTCTGAGTCAGATCTCTTAGCTGCGGATCATATTGATGGTCTAGATGGACTTGAAAATGGTCAAGATGGAGATGCTATTATACAGTGCGATGGTGTAAAGCGTGAATTAAATGAAGCAAACATTGATGATCCGGTATCTGATTTTTTTCAACTAGAAACAAATGTATAATATTAAATAAATATCATGTTAATAGTTTATCTTTATTATTATTTTATATATCAATTATTTTAGGAATTGGAGGCCATTAAAGCTCGAGTCAGGGAAATGGAAGAAGAAGCAGAAAAATTAAAACAATTACAGTCTGAAGTGGACAAACAAATGAACATGGGTAGTCCACCTGGTATAAGTAAGTTGTAAATTTCATTAATTCGAATGCATAACACGTTATTGAGTATTACTATTAAATAATATTTTTTTCACTTTTAGCAAGTCCATTAAATATGTCACTTGAAGACAAAAAAGAAGTTGATAACAGATCCATTTATGTTGGTAATGTAAGTTGAAATTTGATAAGAATGATGTTCCTCATATTTTAAATTCAATATTATTAATATATTGCTTACATAATGTTAAAGGTTGACTATGGTGCTACAGCAGAGGAATTGGAGCAACATTTTCACGGTTGTGGCAGTGTCAACAGAGTAACTATACTGTGCAATAAATTTGATGGGCATCCCAAAGGGTTTGCTTATATTGAATTCGCAGAACGAGATTCTGTACAAACAGCTATGGCAATGGATGAATCTATGTTTAGAGGACGGCAAATTAAAGTGATGCCTAAAAGAACAAATAGACCAGGATTCTCTGTAACCAACAGGTATGTAAAGAACAAAAAATATTATTTACAAGATATTTGAATAGGTGAGATAAATCTTAAGGAGTGATTCTATATGACAAAACCTAGACCTAAGGAAAACCTAACTAAGACAAAGATGAAAAATAACGAAATTATGGTTTCGTTTTTAAGTTATTAACGAATAAAAAATTTTTTTAACATTTTAATGTGGCTACTATTAATAACGTTAATACTTACATTTCCAGGGGACCACGAGGAACGCGAGGCTACCGAGGTATGGCCAGGGGAATCATACGTGGCAGTGCATACTTTGGGTATAGACCTACAAGGCGACCTAGGTATGTTTCGAACTTTATACTTTTTTTTATTGAAGTAATTTTAATCTATTTCCTCCTTTTATAGGAGTTACAGACGGGGTTACTACATGCCGTATTGACCATTTTAAAAGATCTTACTACTATTTTACAAATTAAGGTAAGTTCTTTACATTGACATTTAATTTATCTATTTCCTATGATTGTTCAAACATGAAACGTCCATACTAGAGTAACTAAAGACTTTTTATACTTCAGAGTATTTATATGCGTTTAAGATATATATTTTTACGAAATTATGTAAAATACATTTGCAATATAGAGGCAATAATTGATATAGACGAATTACTTTGTTTGAACAATCAAATTATACAAAGTGTTTGACAACAGGTGAGAAAAAATTTGAGAAGTAATTTTTTATAACGATATAAAATGAAACCTAAGAGTAAAAAGAATATGATTCTCACTTTATTTTCTGGTAATTAACAATTCAAAACTTCTGCGAACTATGACAGTTCACATATAGGGATGTATATGTGGCAGATCAATGGAAATATAAACAGTAACACATTATAAAAACGTTAGAAACAGATATAATGTACAATACATGCTGCTATTGGTGAATTTTTAATGATTTAACGAAGTTGTAAATATATAATTTTGCATAAAGATCTGCAATCTATATTACTGCAGTTACATATAAGAATATAATAGCAAATAAAATGTTTACACGCCTCTTTAGAAAACTGCAATTTTTTATGAAGAGTTTTCAAAGTTTCCGGATGCAATTCATCTCCATTGGGAAAGATTTCTCGACTTTTCACTGACATTGCAGCTAGTATTATGAATAATCTGTAAACTTAGTGATACTGATAAGAAAACTCAGTTTTCTTTTTAAAGTTATGCTATGTTTAGATGAATGATAATTACAGTTGATGATTTTTAATTGATCAGTTGATCAATTCATATAGGTATTTGGTTATCGTCCATCCGATTATTGTATACCTTTAAAAAGAAAATACTGATACTATCCCATCAGTGTCGGCGAGTTCACAAACTGCAGGATGCTAGATGCAATGTTAGCAAAACGTTGAGAAAATCTTTTCCAATAGATACAGCTCTCTTTCGAAAACACTTACTATACTATTTTTGCCTGTGGAGATCTAAAAAAAATCATGAATTTTTTACTTTTAACATGTTCACGGACAGTAAAAATTTTAATGAGCTACGAAAATAAAAGAAATGTAAATACAGTACTCTGAAGGTTGAAGTGTATAATAATTTTAAAAAATTAAAACTATATAGAATTAAATGCATGATAATGTGACTTATAAATTTGAATATTATAGCATTCATGTCATTTTGCCTCACAATGAAAATGAATGCTATAGCATTCACGTCCGTGAATGTATTAACCTTCGTTATATATTATTACAAAAAATTACCTTCCAAATATTTTTTCCCATTTGCTGTCACACATACTGTGTACAATAAAGCAATACATTTGTAGGAAAGGCTGGTGAAAAAATTACAAAATTTAGGTATCATTGTAAAATTATTATTATAAATATTAACAACAAATAGTGAAATAAAAAATTACCGTTTAATTTACTAGCCATTCCTGGAATGAATGTGAAACTATTATTTTCTCAGTAATAATTAATCTATATTTTGGATTACTGTTTTAATATTCTGATGTATCTATCTCATTTGTCTCGAAAATATAAATTTATTATGACATTTATTTGAAATTTGAACTCATAAAAGTATCTGTCAATTTTCTACAGTGAATAGTATAGAAATCGTATTTAGATACATTGGCTTTGTTAGGAATACTACACTGTGCTCTACATTTATATTCAGGCTTATCACTTGTCCATATTTTACGTATTGACAACAGAACGCCCGTATTGAATATTATTTTTTTTAAAAGAAGGAAGTAACTCAATACGCTTTTTGTGATATTTTTTATGGTATTCTTATGTTCATAAACAATGGATGTTCCAATCCATACTGTAGAATATGGCCTTGTGAAATGCAATACAAGATATTGTAAGTTTTTGTGCATATCTCATAGGTTACACAAAACTTACATATTTATACGAACATGCATTACAGTATAATGCTGCTAAAGTGTTTAAGTAAATTCTTATGATATGTCCACAGAAAAAAAAACTG